AAAAAAAAAAAAAGTCAAAAGCAAAAATACAGGATGCAAAAGAAGCCGTACCACATACAAGGCCAAGCGAGCAACCAGGTTCCGATAGGCTTGTCAAGGCGAGCAAGCCGAGCGTACGGCTGAATATGCTTCGGCAAATACAAGTTTATCCACGACACATCATTCACTTTCACCTCGCCGCCACCGCCGCCATTCTCGTCGTTCTTCACCGGCGTAGAAGACGACGACGATGTCGAAATGTGGCGGACGGAAACGGCGCCAAATTCGACGATCAATTTCCGGCGACCGTAGTAGAATTGCTTAGGCCATAGGAAAACCGGAATAGGAGGAGAAATGTGGAGAGGGCTAGGGTTAGGGTTTGGAGCGTAATGAAAGGAAGAAGAGATTGAGGAGGAAGAGGGATTCAAAAACCTACGGGTTCGGAAGGCACGAGAGAGCAAAAACAACGTCATTTTGAATTGGAATGCATGTTTTTAATGGGTCTGCATAGGAATCTGGCGAACATTTAAAACTTTGGTATTTTATACGAGTTTTCAGAAGCAAGGCATTCCGAACTCATTCAGCTGCTCCCCGGAAGTGGCGATTCCTACAGAACATAAGGAGGTCAATCAAATCAGAAATCAGAAATTATTAAAAAAGGGTAAAATCGATATTCCACGTTCAAAAAAAGACCTCAGGCTATAAAAAATCAATTTTTTAAATTATCAAAGTATATAAGACAAAAATGCAATTACCCATTAATATAGAATACCAAATTAAAATTATTCTTAAAATAAATATGCAAGAAAAAAATGAAGGGTAAAAAGGAAAACTGTTTGGTTTCTGCAACAATTCAAACCCTCCTGACTCAATTATGGACTCATTCATTCCATCGATTTAAATTTTTAATTTTAGATTTTTACAGTTAAAAGCTTTTAGAAAATGTAACATTTAACTTTTTTTGTTACAATTAAAAGTTCTCAAAAAATATCACATATCAGCTTAAATTAAAAACTTAAATCTGTAAAGCGAACAATGTATATATATTTCACATCCCAACTAGAATGGAAGCCATCCTTGGAAGAAATTAATGGGATTCTTACTCCAATTCTTACAGTGTGTTTTGTAGAACGGAAAAAGGATAGGAAAAAGAAAAGAAATTAGATGAAGGATTTTAAAGAAAAAAATAGAATCTTGTGTTGTTTAGTAGATAGGAAATGAGGTAGGAAAGTAGAAATTGATGGGTTCACTAATTTTAAATCTTTCTAACTTTAAAAAGAAAAAATGATGAAAAATTTTGATAAATAAATGAGATATAAAATAATTATTTTAACTTTAATCATTCATCATTTTTTATTAGTATATGGGTACTATTGTAAAATACAATAAATTTAACATTTTCTTTTCACTTTTTTTTCTTCTACCAAACAACATGAGATAAAATCTACATTCCACCATTTTATTTCCTCTACCTAGGTATTTTACTTCTCTTTCTTTCCTCTTTTTCTATAACATATGCCAAAAGTGGACAATCCAGGAAATAGCCCATGGAAACAATAATAATATGAGATAAACAAAATAAAATCTCAAGATAATATGGGCTTATTCGTTTGCACCTAAATTCAAAAAAGTTTAAACTCAAGTTATAACTTTATTCAGATTCATGTTCTTTTGTAAAATTTGAGTTTGAATTTGAGTTTTAACTTGAGTTTAATGTTGAAATCTGAGTTCAAGTTTCATTTTCAATTCAAGTTTTTAAACTCAAACTCAAATTAATAAACAATATTTTTTTATTATTAAAAATGCTATAACTTTTTCATTTTAATTCAGATTGAGATAATTCTTTTTTATACGTTCACAA